ACTGGTCTCGGCTTGAATGGCGGGGTCGGAGTAGGCGCTGGTCTTGGATTGAAGTCTGTTGTTGGTGTCGGAGCTGGTGTTGGTGTTGGAGCTGGTGTTGGTGGAGACGCCGGCCTCGGTTTGAAAGCCGGTTTTGGCGCTGGCGTCGATCTCGGTGTGAATACTGCTCTTGGAGGCAAAGCTGGCCTTGGTGTAGGTGCTGGTGTTGATGCTAAAATTAGTGGCGGCGTAGGCGCTGATCTTGGATCGAAAGCTGGTCTTGATGCAGGTGCTGGCCTTGGTGTGAGTCTTGATGCAGACGCTGGTGTTGCTCTCGGTGTAGGTGCCGGCCTCGGTGCGAAAGCAGATCCTGGCGTTAAAGCCGGTCTTGGTGCTGGTGTCGGGCTTAAGGCCAATTCTGGTCTTGGTGCAGGTGTAAGTTTAGGTTCAGGTGTTGGTGTGAATGTTCGCCGTCGCCTGCGCATAAATTATTTGGCGAGTGTTTGATGCATGAAAAATATTCGCGCTAGTATATGTATGTTTTGATTATCTTTCTGTGCCAAAGAATCTGCTTGTATTTTTAAGCGTTGCGAGTCTAAACAGTTCGCGTATGTATGTTCACTTTCTTATGTACAATGGTTGTAAGCTGTAGAAACATTACAAGTTTAACCAGTTTGTTGGTAAATTCACTCGTTTGATAGACCATTAAACGTAACAGCAACATGATAATGCTCTGCTGACATACTTCCCTGTTGTTAAGAGTCAACACAAAACAATATCGCAGTAATGTAGGGAGTTGTTGATGATTGTACGACTGCACTGTAATTTATACGGCACCAATTGCTCATACTTTAAATAACCAAGCTTCTATGTGGAAATAGGTTGTGAGTGTACACTAAGTCGCTGAATTTTGTTACCGACTCAGGTTCATGACACATTCCCTTTCAACATAACTAAACCAGATCCTATTTATTTCGCACCCCAGTGTTGTTTAACTATGAAGCCAATGTACTTCCGTTGCGGTGCGCTTCAATATTAAATTGTCTGACTTACAACGTTACAAGCTCACATCGATACATCATGACGTTGTTATAAATTGGGGTGATATCGCCTCTAACGTGAGCAATGATATAGTGATGATCCGACAATCACTTTACTGCTAGTGCGAGCAATGTCGTTTTTGCTTCTCATGTGGTGAATACAACACAAAAAGTTACTGCCAAGTTTTTGTGACGGGCAAACGTTACTAGTAGCGTTAATAGTGACGCCTCTGCTGCTGCCAGGATCAATTGGTCATGGAGCAGGCGCTTATCATTACGTAAACGGTTTCCTTAGTTAGCACGCTGGTCATGGTGCCGGTGCCGATGCAGGTGGTTCTTCTGGTTTTGGCGTATATTCTGGTTCTGCCACTGTAGGTACCGGCCATGGTGCAGGTGCCTGTCACGAGTAGTTGTACTGCTTGACATATCCGCTAATATCGACATCAATCTGCCATGTAGATGTAGTCTGTGGGTGTCCTTAATATCCGAGTCGTCCATGTTGCGTTGACTGTGTATTGTTCGGCATCCGTAGGTGCAATTGACTTATGCGATGACAACTTATGTTCGTCGAAATTTAGAGTCATTTACCATCGCGTATACAGCCGTCTGCACGATAACGGAAGTCGCGAGACTGTGTGTATGCTGAATTTTTATGAGCTCCCATGTATATCCACAACAAAATACTGACAACCTTGACCTTGATAACGTAACGGAAAGCTATGGAACCCACTGTACCATAGCTAATCGTGCGTATCGTATGCTTAGTGTAATGACAATTGTTTTAGTCACGGCCCACTAAACTTCATGCGCACAAAATGGACTGCGCCTGACTTGGAAGTTCAAATCATAGCGCTTCAAACACACTCAGCCCTGATGCAAGACATTTTCGTTCAAGCTAACGACTAAAGTTTGTTGCAAGACAATTTCAAATCTTGTCAATACGTCTCCAGTTTGCAATCAACACAGGTTTTAGTTCTCTCTCATTTCGGTATCTTCGGACTTGCTGAGGTAGTTATCGTAAAATTTATTGCATTCCGTGCTAGCCACAAACAAAAGAAGCAGTGCCATTTGTAATATCCAGGCTCCTTAAACGACTCTGTCTAGGACTTGTATTTATTGAAGTGCAATAACATAGATTTCGGTCTTCACCGTCCTATATGTTCGCTACGCTTACTTTTGTCAGACCAACGTCAACAAGAAATCAAGTGGCTTCAAATTTCAAGACTTCACCATAGCTTTAGCACATTAAGGTCAAGCTGACGGTATACATAATCAATATAACTAAGCAGATCGATTGACTATATGACCTTACACTGAATATTATCTGTCATTGTCATCAAGGCAGCATCAGCAGTACACTATGCTTTCACGTCTGACGAATAGGCAAAACGGGTATGTATGCCTTCGTTTCATGAAACTCATTTGCTGAATGTCACCTGCTATTCAAGTGTCCAAAACAAACTCTTAATCTGCGCAAAGGGCCGAAGCGATGACAATTTGACGATGAAACAAAAGATTGGCTCATTCAGCAGGCTCAGTTTATTTATCTGCTTGATATAAGGTCCCAAAATTGCCGCGAGATAACACAAGCAAAAAGTGTTGTATTTTGTGCAAATGCATATATTGTTAGTTGCCAGAAGTTTAAGCGGTTTCTACATTTCTATACGATCGAATCAGTTTATACTGCGATCAGCAATATCTACACAAGCGCCTTGAGGTTCACCAAATAAGTTAAAGCCTGATTCTGCGCTGTATAGGGAGCTCTGATAGATTCAAACTGGCGACGTCACGCTTGATTGCGAAAGCTCGATAGTGACGAGCAGAACAACACAAGAAAGGAGACGTTGCAGTCAGTAAGTAGAGCAAGCTAAATTTGCAGCTCGCTCTTTTAACTTAACGATATGACAAGAACGTCGCGTCCCGAGTGTGCAGCTGGCATGTCCTACGGTGACACCGAACCTGCTTCACTGTATGGGGATACAATCAGACTTTGAACAGAATTAGATGCTTGATACTATGCCCACGTTGGCGAAAAGCAATGAAAAGAAGGTGACTTTAAGCTGATGATACGTTGTTGCATCAGATACGGCTCCAGTTATGACGTCAGTCGACAAATTTCGTCTTTTCTGTTCCTTGTGTACTACCAGTCAGCTCGAGCACTGGTGCAGCAATTTTCAATATGGGTAACAGCTGGCCCTACAGAGTGCAATAAACACCGATAAGTTATCAAATCTATCTACACCACGGAGCAAAATGAATAGTATTGGCAAAGGTGCAAGTCTTCTAAACGTCAACACGTCTTAACGTATGAAAAAACAAGAATTGGGTATATACTACAACTCTGATCCAATTTTCCACTACAAGCTCGTTCACCAAGAGTATGAACAAATAGTGCTACATAATTACTGTAATCATGACTTCACTATTGCGAAATGTCTGAAGTTGAACGCGTAACGACAAAGAAGTATATCATCAAAGCGCAATCATGTTGCTTTGTTGTTGACCACGTTTGGTGGCTCATTAAAAAAGGGAATAGCCGTTTATTATGTCTACTATTTACAACCATTGCACATAAGACAGTGGACAATGTGTTTAATTTGTAACGCTCAAGACTGCAAACATATTCATCGGCACAAGAAAATGATTATAATGTACATAAAATGATGCGAAGTATCCTCATGCAGCAAACACTAGCTTAATTACTTAAACGCAGGCGGCGGCCAGCATTAACACCAATACCTGAACCTAAACGTAAACCTACACCGACACCAGTGTCTAAAGCAAGACCTGCCCTGACGCCAAGTTCAGCGCCAGAGCCGCCACGGATTTTAGCATCAACATCAACTCCAACACCTGAACCAGTATTCAGACCAAGTCCGGCGCCACCATCAAGATTTGCGCTCACTGCAACACTGCCTGGACCAGAGCCGAC